ACCTTAAAACTTTTAGGAGTAACAAATCCTCACGTACTTTAACCACATAGTGCCATTCTTATTTCATCTCTCACGTTTGTACTCCCCTTGGTGTGTCTTAAAGCAAATCCAAGACATTGTGTATATATGTATGTATGTATGTATGTATGTATGTATGTATGTATGTATATGCACACACATATTATTCAATTTATAAATACTTCAGTGTGTCTGTAACAGATACAAACTTTTGCTTAACATATCCACAGTGCCGTTATAGACCTCTCAAAATTAAATTCTTACTACACCTAATATCCAGTCCATATTCAAATTTCTCAGATTATCTCAAATGCTATTTGATAGTTTTAATCAGGATCCAGACATGTTTGTTTAATATGTTTCTTAAATGGCTTAAATTTAATTTTCAGGTTCCTCCACTTTCTTTGTTACAGAAAAAAATGTTGTAATTTCTAATAGTTTGTATTTGCTGGTTACATCCTAGAGATCAAAAATGTTATTGTATTCCGCTGCCCCTGTATTTCTTGTTAAAGGATGTTTAGATCTAGAGGCTTGATCTAATTCATGTTTCATTGGGGAGAGAAGGGAAAAAGGTTTAATAGATGAGTGTTGTATGTTTCCATCTTTTGTTACTCTTTACTCATTGCCATTGAATTGGAATCAACTCGTAACTGACCCTCCAGCAGGTTTTCAGAGTCAGTAAATGGCATGAGAGGAGATTGCCCATCTTTCTCCCACAGAGTAGCTGATAGATTTAACCCCCTCTAGGACAAACCTGTTTGTTCTTCTGGCAGTCCATGGTATACCCAATACTCTTCTCCTGCACCACAGCTCAAAGGCATCAATTCTCTATCATTCCTAGTCATTGTCCAGCTTTCTGACACATAGCAAGTAATTGCAAAGACTATGGCCTGGATCAGGCACACCTTACTCTCCAGACTGAGGTCGTTGCTTTTGAGTACTCTTGGGTACAGCAGACTTTCCCAGTGCAATTAGACTTTTAATTTCCTGGCTGCTGGTGCCAAGAGTGTTGATTGTGGAGACAAGCAAACTAAAGCTGTTAACAATCTCTGTCTCTTCCCTATCTATTATAATGCCTTTCTGCCCAGTGGTGAGAATCTTTTGTTTTCTTGATATTGAGCTTCAATCCATGTTGAAGGTGGCCGCAGCCCTTGACCTTCTGCAGCAAGTGCTTCAGGTCTTCCTCACTTTCAGTAAGCAGGGTGGTATCATCTGTATAACACAAGTTTTTGATGAGTCTTCCTCCAATCCCGATGCCACATTCCTCTTCATAGAGCCTAGCCTCCCGGATGATCTGTTCTACGTATAGATTGAAAAGGTAGATAGGACACATCCCTGGCATACACCCTTCCTGATTTTGAACCATGCAGTGTTTTCTTACTCTGTTTTGATGACTGCCTTTTCATCTAAGTATAGGTTTCACAGTAGCACAATCAAGTGTTCAGGGGTTCCCATTCTTTTCAGAGTCAGCCACAGTTTGTTGCGATCCAAATTACAGTCAAATCATCAGTCCAAATCCCAATCACCAGTCAAATGCTTTTACATAGTCAATGAAACACAGATGGACATTTCTCTGGTACTCTATGCTTTCGGTCAAGATCTGTCTAACATTAGGTATAGTTTCCCTGTTACCACAGCCTCTTTTAAATCCAGCCTGCACTTCTGACAGTTCTCTTTGTTGATGTGCTGTTACAGTCGTTTTTGGATAATTTTTAGCAGAATCTTGCTTGCATGTGATACTAATGATAGTGTTCTATAATTTCCACATTCTTGACAGGTCACCTTTCTTTGGAACAGGAACAAATACATCTCTTCCAGTCAGTGGCCAGGTAGTTGTCCTCCAGATTTCTTGGCATAGCATGGTGCATCCAGGCCAGCGTTTTTTTGGTTGAAATTTTTCAGTTGGCATGTTGTGAATTCCTGGGGCCTTGTTTTTTTGACAATTCTTTCAAAGCAGTTTGAACATCTTAGCAATCAATTAAATATTAATACCCAAACAGTTAAGCCGAGCAACTAAAATTCACAGCCAGCATTCAGACAAGCATATGCTCACCACAGGGACTGTTCATCGTGAAATCCTGCAAGGAGTGCTGTAGAGAGTGGAGAGACATTGGACTGTGAGGTGGTCTGATCTCCTTCTGATAGCTCTGGTTTTTTTGCAGAGGTTCAGAGTTTATTCCATTATTTCATGGCATATTTTTAAATGCCGGACTCTCAAAGCCAGGCTTTTATTATAATTCCATGTGAAGACAGTCCTCTTGGCTATTATTCCTGACCAGCCATTAAGCGTGCCAGGAATGAGACAGACTAGATATCTGCAGGATTACCTATTTGTTGAAAAGTGAGTGCTATTGATCAGTCAGTTGAACAGTAACCTGTTAGTTAGAACATGCTACGTGTCAGGGTTTTTTTGGAATTTTTGGTTATGTTAGCCCAGATTTTCCAGAAGAGACTCTCTGTAGTGCACACCCACTCTGCATGGACTTTGAGCTATTTTCCTGGCAGAATTGCTTTTATGATTGTCCCCAAGTCATGAACTTCTCTCCCCTGGTTCAGTTCTAGCAGGGAACTATTTTGTGGTATCCTGCAGCTTGTGAGAGTGGAGATCATGTGGTCTCTTACTGCTTACCCAGACTTGTGTGTCATTCCTCTGTTTTGGGCTAGATGTTTTGGTCCTGCTCTCGATAGCAAAGGACTTTGATGCCTTGATTTCCTGGGGTTTTGGAATTCAACCAATCCACCATGCTGGCTTCCTATTCTCTCTGCAAGCAGTTACTTTTTCTGTCCCTTCACTCTCAGTCTATAATTATGATGCAAGGTTTGAGATAATCAGAGCTCTGTGAGTCCATTCTAATGTGAATAAAAGATTGTATAAATAAGTTGATGAGTGAGAATAATCATTTCTCCTGCGTAGAGAAATACTTTATGTAGAGGAGCTCCTCCCCCATGAGATTGTGAACTCTTAAAAAAGTGTGGTCTGTGAATAGTGACTTACTACCGAAGAGCTTGGGAAGGAGCTTAGAAAAGTGGATAGAGGAGCCTCTATCAAACACATTTCCGGCTAGGTGATTTGATTAAGTTTACATAAACAGTGGTTTATTTCTTGATTTGATAGCATGAGAACGGCATGCTGCCTCTGCTTTTCTTCCCAAAGTTCAGAGTACCCTAGTTTAGCCATGAGGAAAAGGAGCCCTTATGGCATAGGAGATTAAGCCTTGGACTACTAACCCAGCAGCTAGTGGATCTGGTAGTTTGAATCCACTAGCTGCTCTTGAGATCT